TAGTTTGTGAAAAAAATCCTTGTGATTTTCCATGGAACTTTTAGGAAGCCATGTGTCATACCTGTACTTGTTCGTGCATCATTCAAAGTATTAGGAATTTTTCATATTCCATACTTTCTAATTTTTACATGGAAATTTATCAAATTACCTAGAGATGGCAATTTAACAACCTATCCATATCATCATTATGATCTGAGCCTTATCTCAACTACTTTAGGTCGGCTACATAAATCTTCAAGATTCATGAAAGGATGTGGCGAAGTTTTATGCTGGCTGGCCACCTAACACAACCCTCCTCCTTTCTTTGGGCTTGAGACTGGCATGACTGACTCGGACTGGCCATGGTGGAGTTAATACCCTACCTGAATCTTGTGATTTAATTTCAAAATATCCAATTACCCATAGAGAAACACATGATCTTGAGTTGGAATAGTTGAGAATGACTAGAGTGTTACTTATGGGTATATTGATAAAATTCCCATTTTTAATGATGAAAATTAAGAAAATGATATAATTTCGTAATTAGATAAAAGAAAATTTAAGGAATCAATATAAATTTGATAATTTTTTAGAAATTATTTATCTATTAGTACTCTATTGTCTATGGATTAATTATTTTTCGTACCTCCTATTTTACATCGATAATTTATTAACTGCTAAGAATTCGTAATAAAAAATAACATTGACGAAAATATAAAAAATACAAAAAATTAGCAATAAAGAAGAAGAAAACTTGTTTTAATCCTATAAATGTGTAAATCAAGGACACTATATGGAGACTTTGAGAGAGAATATAGAATCCAAACTTCCACATCTTCCATATTCTTGATTTTTAAAAAGGCAGAATTTCTTTGAAACAATATAGATTTCTTGATTAAAAGAAATTAAGATGGTGTCATATTTCTTCTTTTAAAGAAAGAATTAAGTGAACTTCAAAAATTTTAAATTTGTCTTAATCCTATACATGTTATAAGGAGGGAGTCCGTCTTTGAAAGTGACTTGGATTCTTAAGTAGTGATTAACTGTTTTTCATCGCTTCGCACTTCTTTTAGTGATTAACCTCTTTTATATATGATGGCTCTCTCCATAATAGGATAATATATAACTCTATTTTCTAATGTTTAAGATAAAGTATGAAGCTATGATTTTTTTGATGATGACACACACTTACGTCTAAATAAATTTAGTAGGGATTGTGTGCTATAAGACCACTCACTTTTGGTACAAGGTCATAATTACTCTTAGCCATTGGATGTGAAATCTAACAGATTGAACTTCGTGACAATATTCCATAAACTTTATTTTAGACCAGTCAATGGCACATCCATATCAACCGATGTAACATCTAATGGCCAATAGTGATTATGATCTCCTTATACCAAAAGTTAGGGAATTCAAACAGCTAGTGTTTTATCCTTCATTGGTAACTGCCTAAATGCTGCCACTTGGAGGATAATAATCAGAACCCCTACCCTTCACAGCAGAATGGGGTCCTTCTTTGTCCAATCAGTGCTGTGTAGAGAAATCTTGGTGAGAGCATCCTGATGACTTGAGACCCAAAACCTTAGATTTGATCAACGATTTAAAACTGGGTGATAATACACATCTCTGAATCTAGATGGCTAAATACTCTCGAGCGCTCTCAGAATGCTCAATGCAAAAGTCTCCTTGGCACACCAGATGCCCTTCAAGGAATTACTTATCACCAATGCTATCCCATACCTATATCCAACTCTACTACAATTTATGGGAGGAGGTATGAAGACTGATACAAAGAATGCATTCTCTACTAAATGGCTCCTGAAAGGCTTCAAATTCTCTCAGCTTTCTCTCTAGTGTCGACAATGCAGACATCCTTAGACATCTAGTATCATATTGGCCTTCCGCTGATGTTATCAGCACTAAGTTCGGGGAGCATCCACCTGGTTTCTTTCTTAGTATCATCTCTCAAAATGAGTGAAATTAGTGCTCAAAGAAAGGAAAACATTACATTATCTATGGATATATTAACACTAATTCTATTCAAATATCTTATTGATAAACTGGTAATATGGTTATTTGCTATTAATTTTGGCCAATTAACCTGTTATTCGTCTCAAATTATTGTGTTGCTTGAATGTTAGGTCTTTAAAGCATTTTATTTTCTTGGTTGTATCTTAGATGCAATTTGTTGTTTCCATACTCTGCATGGTTGTTATTAAACAAAAACATTCTTCTTGGAATTGATCTTTTGGCAAGGGTAGTTGCCTAAGGCCTAAGAGATATGAAAGTTACTTGATACCTGTGCTAATTATGCCTTTGCAGCATAATGTCTTGTGGCTTTTCTTTATGATTGAATTGGGAGATACTGATGGTGTTCATGTTTTAGGGAAGTCTATTATTTAATTCCAGTTTAGTCGCAATTTTTGTGTTAGTTCTTGGTGTTATTACTGATGTATACAATTCAAACATTCTTCAAACTGATTTTTCATTGGCATCTCTTTGCTTATCTGCGACTATACTAGGCTGATCCTCAAAGCATACTGCAGGCTCATTTGAATCATTACAATGCCTTTTCATGTCTCTTTTACTCTTCTTTTTCTCAGATTGTTTGCATGAAGCTTTTTAATTATCCTTTAGGTTAACATCTGCCACACACTGTTACATATGCATTTGTTCTTAAGCATGCACGCATCCATCTTGATAAGCTTTAGAGGAGCATTATGCTGTTGTAATGGCTTGCAGCTGTAGTCATAATTGTGCCTGCAAATCATAACGTCTTTTTCTAAAACAAGCCAGATTGAGAAAAGGGTAAATTATGAGCATCTCCTTTTTGTTTGTTTTTTCATAGTGCCAAGAGATATTCTTTTTATTTATATCACAGCTGTTGTAAAGTTCTTTTGAATCTCTTATTATGCGTTTTTGAACTTGGCATCTTGTTATTTGAGTCTTCCCACCCTTTCAAGATTCTTCTAACTTTTACTAGTAAATAGGACCCACCCATAAAGATTTAGAATCAAGATGCTGCAGTCTTTTCAGTGCCACTCAGTGTTTCAAAAAGCGCTAGGCACCGAGGCGACCATGGGGGTCTAGGCTGCCTAGAACCTAGGCGGCCTAGTTGAAAAAAAAAAAAAAAAAAAAAAAAAAACTGATGACTAAAAATGAGAAACTAGAAATTATAAAGTAGAAACGAAAAATAAGAAAGAGAATATATACAGAAATTCAAAAAATATACAGTTTATGAGACTATGACCCATTAGTCAACACTCAACACAACAGTCAATACTCAACACCAAGAGTCTTTAGTCATCATTATCATCATCATCATCAGAAAGAATAGGGTAAGCTTCATCATATGTATCAAAATCGAGGCCATCATCACATCTCCCTCTTCAATATAACGTTCGTCCTCTTCTGTTTCTTCTGAATCTGTCTCTTCCTCATCCTCATCCTCTTCTTCTACCACCCTCTTACTAGTATGTGCAGATGAGGCCTTAGGAGTCTTGGCTGCTTTACCATTTTCTATCTTTTTGTGCTTCCCTGAACTCAAATATTGTATAATTTCCTCCCTGGTAGTGTCAGGAACATTTTTACACGGGGGCAACATCCCCTTTAATACCAGCAAGTTAGTTTTTAAATCGGTAAATTCCGCCATTAGTATCCTTTCCACCATAATTATATTTAATATGATTTTTGTCATTCGGATTTGGGTTATAACCATACTTCCAACGCGAATCACCACTTCTAGAAGAACCTGGAGAAGATATTTTCATAGAACAAGGCTCATCTTCATCATTTTCTGGCTCTTTAACATTCAGAAGTTGTCAATTCTCATCTCAAATAGCTTTAGGAACCTTTTCACAAGAAACAACATTCCCTTTAATACCAGCAAGGTGTTTCTTGAATCAGTTAATACCCCAATTGGTATCTTTTTCACAAAAATTACACCTTATACAATTTTTATCATTTGGTTTTGGGTTATAACTATACTTCCAACCCGGATCACTTCTTCTAGAAGTAGCAAAATAGATCTATTCAAATGACAAGGATTTTGTTCCCGTGTTTGTTTTACAAAACTCATATATTGCTTAATCTCCTCTTTAATAGCTTCAGGAACATTTTTACAAGGGGCAACATTCCCTTTAATACCGGCAAGATGTTTCTTAAATCAGTTTATGCCCTTTTTTGTATTTTTTTCACAAACTTTGCATCTAATGCAATTTTTGTCATTTGGATTCGGGTTATATCCATATTTCCAAGCCGGATCTCCATTTCGACTAGATCCTGAAGAAAACATCTCAAAATAAAACAAGCAATCTAAAAAATAAAGTTTTGCACTTACTTTGATTGCTCGAATTCTAAACTCCCACCTTTGATATGTTTTCTGGTGCTAAAATAATAAAGAACACCCTCTAATAGGATTATAAAACTTTAAAACTAAATCAAATCTACCTGGGTGATGTTTGGATCCATTTTCTGTAATTTTTAGAAACACTTCGATCCAATGAAAGTCAGAAAATGATGTTTTCTTGAGCTTTTTTTCTCCTTAAAATGGGTTCTTGTGGGTTTAGGTTTCAAATGAGCCTAAAACCTATCCATTGAAACCCTTTATATTTAAAAAAAAAACAATTGAAACAAAAAAAAAAAAGAAAGTTCCGCCCATAGGTGGGGCGCAGGCTCTGGGTGTTGGGTGGCGGCCCTACCTAGTTTGGCCGCCTAGGCCTAGGCGATGCGCCCAGGCCTTTTGGACCACCTAGGAGGTTGCTTAGGCATTGGGCGGTCCACTTTTTTGAACATTGGTGCCACTCAAGGGCTGGATATGGATGGGCTATTACGGTTGCTTAATTTAACCCATTATGACCTTATTATAGAGCATGAATTCCCTTTAAATGTGTCATCCCTCACACGACAATGCATTTGGATTATTATGTTAGTAAGACTAACGAACTCTTCGGTTAGGGGAAATGAAATAATTTTCCATTTGTGTGAAATATCACTCCATTTTGTTATGTTGTTTTTAGTTCCTCGGAACTTCAGACTGCTTGAAGAGCTCGAAAGGGGAGAGAAAGGCATTGGTGATGGGACTGTTAGCTATGGAATGGATGATGGGGATGACATATACATGCGCTCATGGACTGGCACGATAATTGGACCCCACAACGTATGAGAATTTCATTCTCAAACCCTGTCTCTCTAAAGGGACACATCTCGTGAACTTAATGAATTCTTTCTAACCCTTTTGTTCTTGTTGCAGTCTGTTCATGAAGGGCGCATTTATCAGCTAAAGCTCTTCTGCGACAAAGATTATCCTGAGAAACCTCCTAGTGTTAGGTTCCACTCCCGGATAAACATGACTTGCGTTAATCACGAGACAGGAGTGGTAAGATGGGGACTACACCCAACCACAAAGCTCTTGGTATCATATGGTTAGTATGGTTGGTTTGACTTGAACCCTATCTTTCACTTTCAGGTTGAGCCGAAGAAGTTTGGGATGTTATCGAATTGGCAACGTGAGTACACAATGGAGGATATATTGACTAATTTGAAGAGGGAAATGGCAGCACCTCATAACCGTAAACTGGTTCAGCCCCCGGAAGGTACTTTCTTTTAAGGTGGCTATTGGGGGAAAGACTTCAGGAATTATGTTTGATGAAATGGTTTGCTAGGTAGTACTGCTACGTATATATGTGGTTTCAAGGGGGATGGAACGCTTGTTTTAAATTTTAAGGAAAACGCAAGCTGTTAGCTGTTCTGCTTCATTTAATCTTCTCTCATTAGGGATTGAAAGAGGGAAGGTTGTAACTATTTTGGTCTGCAACTCTTTATATTTCCAAGCATGGGGCACTTTGTTTTGTGATTCTCTTCGCTTCTTCCATTTGTAACTCCTACAATGGAGATTTTAAGAGCATACCAAAAACTCCTCTCAAGTACCGGCTGGGTCTGAGTGAAGTTATCTGGTTTGGGTATTAAGAAAAAAAAGAAAAAAAAGAAAAAATATTGGAAGTTACAAAACTGAGAAAATGAGGCATAAAACACAGTAATTAAAAGAGCTTGTATACTATGCTCCCACGAGAGCATCCTCTTCATCTACTTTAGTTTTATTTGGGATGATTTTTTTGATCTTGAGTTTTGGGATTTAGCTAAGAATGATTAGATGGCCATGCAATTTTTTGGTTGAATTTTTGAGTTTTCTAACATTTAGATTTCACCTTTTAACAATGGATGAAGTTTCAATAGGGCCAAGGCTTTATGAACCTCACCTCAAATCTTCATCCGGAAGGCACTTTCGGCATTGGAAATTTTTGTGGTGGCTCTAAAATTAATTTTCAACATCAGCAATAAAATTGGAAACTAAAAAATGGTACAGGTCTTTAGGATCTTGTGGATTTATGAACACCTTTTTAAGGGTAAATGGATGGTCTAAATGATTTGTTGCAATACGGACTATTTTTATAGTTTGAAATCTTAACTTTTTAACATAACCCTATGATCTATTTAAAGGTTTTTCAAGACTTGAATTGTAATTTTTGATGAGTTTCAAGGGGACTGTACTTATTTTGATCGGGCAGCAACCCCATTTTCCTTTAAAAATTGGAGCAATTAGGAATTTGAGAAAGACAAAGTGCTTATCTTCACGTCCCCTTCTTTAAAGTCCATATCAATTATTCTTATTAAGGCTTTAAATCATGAGGAATTCGGTCAAGAAAGTAACATAATGAACACAACTCTTTATAGTGAGGCAGGACAGGGGGTACGGAATGTCTCATCTGCCAATGCTAATTCGGGACCAACAATCCAAGGTCTTAACTCAATTTAAGTCTTCTCATATTTTAGTTTCAGACCAGTCAAGGAACTGATACTCCTCAAAATTAATACAATAAACCATCTTATTGGGGGATAAGTTATTGTTCCGACATGCATACTCCATTAGCTGCTTAAGGCATTTAGAATAGGGCCATCAAGTAGTGTTCAAAATGCTAGTGGTACATGACTTTGAAAACTGTCATTTTCATAGAAATTTCCTCAAAACCAGACTGTCATTTTCATAGAAATGAATATGCATTCCAGTGGTAGAGCCTTGAGAATGGAACCTCTTGTGTTGTATGCCTCATGACCAATCTCACAAACCTCAAAATGAGCGGGTAACCCATGTTCATCAGAGAATTGGTGTGCCATGTGTATTTGCATTTTCAATATTAAGGATCTCTCTTTGGAAAAGTGTTGGCAAGCCCGAGTTCGATTAACGATCTCGGAAAATCATGACAATGCATGCCCATGCCTCCATGACTGAAGTCAAATAAGTCCTTTCAAAACCAATCAAAAAATAAAACAAAATTCATACATACATAAAGCAGCATATATGATTTATTAGGATGATTAATAGCCTCAAACCAAATGAAATTAATTTTAAAATGATGCTATCTACTATTCCATTCCCACATTTGGAAACAAAAGCGTCTGCATTTTCTTCCCAACAACCACATATTACAATTAAATGAAATGGCAAAGCCAAATAACTCATACTTTAAGGGAAAAATATTCCAAGTTCCTAAGAACAGATAAAATTTCATCTTTCCAGAGGAAAATTGTGATGAACGCCCTAAAAACAAGATACCACTTTAAGCGAAAAAATATTCCAAGTTCCTAAGAACACATAAAATTGCATCTTTCTAGAAATGAAAATTATGATGAACACCATAAAAGAAAGATCAGAAATCCGGCCCAATTATAGTTAAGCTTAATTATTATCTCCATACCAAGAGGATATGGACATCAATTATAATCTCTAATTTAAATGTGAGGTTCATTTGTTATGCATGTAAAGAAGCACTGGAAGATTGGTGTAGTCCAATGCATAGAAATGGGGTTTGTGTATGCCAAAACAGAGGGTTGAATTGTGCGTGCACCTCCGACCTTGCTGTTGACTATATAGAAAAGAGAAAAGCAGAAATAAGATCTAAATTGATTCCTTCCTTTGTTGGGTTTATGTAGCCATTAAAAGTCTTATGAGTGTGCAATGAAAAATATAGTGGAACATAAATTTAGTGGGAGTGTGGTCCCTCGATGATCATACTAAGAAAATAATATTTGCTAATACCGGACTGTACTTGACGATCTAGGCCAGTCTGTTGGAAAACCAAAGGTACCTGGGCATAAAGAATAAAACGAGAAGGGTTTTTGGGTTAGCCCTTGATGAGGTCGGAGCTTATGCCTAGATGAGTGAGCCGAGGGACTGTGTGACCTTTGTGTGTGATGGTATGCCTACAGAGACAGAGGCCAAAACCTCATCCATGATCCATCACACGGTATACATATCGATAGATCGTTCGGAAAAGCCTGTTATCCACCTTTTGGGTGAAGTCTATGTATGTGCGAGATATACCCCTATGCACCATAGAGCTATGGTCGCATCAGATCGTGGTGACCTTGATTCGTCTCTAGGGGAGGACCTGTAATCCACAGACTGAGATTCTGACCCATTGACTCATCGGACAGACTTTAGTGACCGTTAATGAGCCATTACTTGGACTGTGGGTCATAAGAAACATTGGGTCGGTTCGATAAAACAAGTGTGGTCTGTAGTCTACAGTTGAAGATGGAGTACCCCATAATTACACATTGAATTTCTAAAACCATATGGATCATTTTCCCATCATATTAATTTAATTATGTTCATTTTATTATTGAAATGATTTTAGTTTTATTATTTGAATTTTTATGAATATCTCAATATTTTGTTTATGACTTTTGGACTTATAAAAATGCAGTCATTGATTTTACAAAGTTATAAAAAATTCAAATTTATATTAATTTTTTTTAAAAATCCCATGGGAGCCCATAGCGCATATGGGCCCACCATGTGGCATGTGGGTGGGGGCCCACATGGGTGGCACCCCCCACCCCTTTGGATTCCTTTTTGATAGATTTGTATTCAAGTTATTTAAATATGGAAAGTGTATCTTATGACATATGGTCAATTTGTAGTATAGTAAATGTTGACCATATCGTATCTATTTAAGATAGTAAATATTAACTTGATATTTCTTGATATATTCTTATAGAATATATGAGATGGATAATGCAATTTTATGGAATGCATGATATCTTTAATGGATTTAATTTATTTAAATATATTAATGAGAAAATGGTCTAAAAAAAGGGAGATAATGATTCATGCACCTTTCGTAATGTTGATGGCCTATATATGGAATGGATGATTCATATCTCTCACCCCACAAGTCACCTTGATCAACGGTCCATATTCAATCTCAAGAAAGAGACAAACTATGAGAAACCTTAAAGAAACCCTAGATCTAAATTTCACTATAAATAGGGGTGTTCTCCCCTCCATCTCTACACACATCTCTCTCTCCC